TATTATTTTTAACATGTTTTTATTGATTTTAGAGAGAGAGAGGAAGGGAGGGAGGAGAGAGGGAAACATCCATGTGAGAGAGTAACATTGTCCCACATATGCACCCCGATCGGAGATCGAACCCAAAACCTGGACATGCGCCCTGACCAGAATCAAACGGGTGATGTTTAACCCACTGAGCCACACCGGCCAAGGCTACAGTCATTACTTTACGGGTTTGTGTTTTTTTCTGTTGGAATTTCATTATCACTGGTTTCCTTTGTAAGCCAATAGATGTAATTCTAGTCATTGAAACACTTTATCCAGGAAAGGGTTCATGGCGTGGAATGGGGTTAAGGATTCCTGGGCTACAGGGCTCTGGAGAGGGGGGAGGGGGGAGGGGTGGCATAGAGGAGATTGCCAAAGAAGGTGGAGGCAGAGCATTCTGGGTGGAGGCAGCAGCAAGTGCAAAGGCCCTGGGGTTGGGGGCGAGAACAGTATGTTGGAGGAAGAGTAAAGAAGAGGCAGGGGTGACTGGAGTGAGGAGAGGAAGAGAGGGAAGTGGGGAGACCTGGCAGGGCTTTGTGGGCCATGGTGAGGGGTTTGATTTTACTCTGAGATGAAGACTTTGAAAAGAGTAGAGACAGCTGACAAGTTTTTAAAAGGCCCCTCCAGCTGCTGGGTCCGGGATGGACTGCAGGCAGCGAAGGTGCGAGAGGCGTTTTCTTGGATCCAGGCAACCGGTCAAGGTCAGCCGTGCCTCCTGAACCTGCCTGGATGGTCACTGCAGGGCCTACCTTCACTAAGAGCTGCGCAACTTCAGACCAGCCTCAGTTTCCCCATTTGTAAGAAGATGATAGCTCTGGGGATTCCTAACAGCAGACCTAGTTAGCACACCGCAGGGTGTCTGGTTTTAAGGAAACCCTCCATGCAAGTTAACTATTATTATTACTAATGCTGTGGCTATTGTGCATATCCCTGCTGAGCTGGCTGCCTCAGGGTTACCTGGGAAACTACAAATCCTACCCCCACGTCCCAGCTGTCCTAATTTGAGAAGAGAAAAGCTGTTTTTAGAATAGCCCTCTGTAATACAGTGCCCTCTCCATCCCCTGTTCTCTGAAAAGCATCGTTTTATTTTCATCATGATGTTTGCATTAATCTCTGTCCCCCTCAGCCATGTGTAAGCCATTCTTCTTTTTTCTTTTTTAATCCTCTCCCGAAGATATTTTTCCATTGATTTTTAGAGAGAGGGAAAGACAGAAATATCGATGTGAGAGAAACACATCAATTGGTTCCCTCCCGCACCGGCCCAAGCCAGGGAGGAGCCTGCAACCGAGATGTGTGCCCTTGACCTGAATCGAACCCGGGACCCTTCAGTCGGCAGGCCAACACGCTAGCCACTGAGCCAAACCAGCTAGGGCTAATTTAATTTTTCAATTAACATTTTTGATTGCTAAAAATCCAAGCGATCCAAAAGGATATAGAAAAGTACATGTCCCCAGGCCCCCTCCCCAGAAACAGAGATTGCCAGCAGTGCTTGTCTGTGTGCAGAACATGTGTATAGAGTAGACCTTGGCCCTTACACACACACACACACACACACACGCCAGGCTGTTTCAGATTCAAACCCAGGTTCTATCACTTTCTGATCCTGAACAAGTGGTTTTATTTCTTTGGCTATAAAGCGGGACTGATGATCGCATTCTCTGTCTCGTCATGTTATGGTGAGGATTATATGAGCTGGTTTCGTAGAAAGCGCTTACAAGGGTGCCTCCTCTTCAGGAAACGCTGCATAAAACGTGACTGCCCTTTTTCATAGCAGCTCAGCATCTTACTGTCGGAATAGATCATGAAATTGAGTCCCTGCTGATGAACAATTGGGTTCATGCTTTCATTTCACTCAAGAATATTTATTGAGCACCGACTAGGAGCTGGTGCAATAACACCCTGGTACCACTTCCTCCACCCCCGTATCTGGGTAGGTAGGAGGGAATCGCTGGTCCCAGAAGGCCTGTCCATGGAAAACGGTGCGATTCAGGGGCAATGACAGTGAACGGACGGCCTCACTAGCCCACCCGCCTCCGGCCCGGCTGGAACCCGCACGTGCAGGATGCTGGTTTGGAAACTGCCTTCCCCGGGGAAGGTGCTGACGTGGGCCGCCGCGCGCTCCGCTTGGAAAGCCGTGGCCCCAGCGAGGCCCGGGGCGCGGCCACACCCCCGGGCGGGAGGGGAGTGAGGGCGCCCCGAAGGGAGTGGACAGCCCCCTTGTCAGTCTTCCCCTGTCCGGGGTTGTAAGATGAGACGGGGGAAGGTGGGTCTCACCCTGGGGAGGGCGAGGAGGAACTTCCTGCCCGCGCGCTCGCTCCGGGGCACAGCGCGCGCCGACCAGGAGGCGGGAGGCGGGTCAAGGTCAGCCTGGACCAGGTGGCCTCCTGCCGGGGGGCGGGAGA